GTTCAGCAGTCTGTGTCGTGCTGCCCATTCCTGCGGCAGCCTGGCCCTCCTCTTCATGTTTCACTCACACGGTTCCTCTGCCTGAGTGCCCTGCCTTCCACTGCTCTCAGAACTCAGTCTATCCTTAAGGGACCCTCTCCATACTCTCCCCTAGGTACGCCTGTCCTTTTGTTCACCTAGTACTCAGTGGTAGGCCATGTCATATGACCTTCATTAAAATGATTTAATGTACCACTGTCTTGCATCAGAATATAGGCTTATAGTGACCCAGTTCTGTATTACTAAATGTCTACTGTCACATGTGGGACATGGTAGGTGTTGATATACATTTGCCATAGGAATCCCAAACACTGCATGAACCTTATACTTATATGATCTTCTACAAGTACACCCTTGGCCGAGAGATCTGTGCTCCAGCAGGATGAGTTGTCTGCTCAATCTCTGTTCCAGAGTCAGTTGGAGCATCGTGCAAGGCTCTGAGAGGGAAACCCTGCTCCTACTTTTCCTTCCTTCCCCATCCCAGAGATTTTCAGGTGCTGACTTTCAGAGAACACCCCTCTCCTGCCTCTTCTTTCTAGTGAGCAGAGGGCTTGCCTCCAGAAGTGTTTGCAAATCATAGTTGTTTACCCATAATGTTAACTGTGAAGTCAAGAAATTGGTGACAATTTTAAAATTGGGTTTCAGAAGATGCCATATATTGATATGCTGAATTTTAATTCTAAAACTTAAGGACAAAAACAGAACAAAAACTTCAGTGTTAACTGTCATTAAATGTTGACACACTTCTAGTGCCTTCTATGTGCACACTTTTAAGTGCATAGATACTGTATGAATTCACTGCTTAGAAGCATACAATCTAATAGGTAAAATGTAGGATCCTCTAAACTTTCAACCCCACTCCCTATATTTTAAGATTTTTTTGAAGTGGCACCCTTTTAAAAATGAGATTATATATTAAAGTCCAGTATTCGTTCCTTAAATATGTACCTGGATCCCGTGTTCTATCTTGTGATGGAGCAGGGTTAGCAATATGTTAGCGGCCCCATGAAATAGCCAAAGATTAATAGGATCATTTGGAATAGTGTAAACTGCAGTGAAGAATATCACACAATTTAAAAAGGTAGCGAATACATATGGAAAGAGCACGACTGCAGCTACGCGTGCGGGGTGGCCTTTCTGAGGCAGTGCAGAGGCCTTGATGATGAGGCTTACTCGGCCACCTGAGATGTGGGGTCAGGAACAGAGCACTGTCACGTGAAGGTCCTGAGGCAGGAGCCAGCCTGTTTGAAGCGCAGTGACTTATCAGAGGAATGCGGCCTAGCAAGGCTGAAGGAGGGCCGGAGTACAGGCTTTGGAGGGCTCTCGCATAGCCTTAGAGTGGCGAGGAATACCCACAGGAGAACTGTATAGCATAAGATTGATGCGTGCTTGGTGTGGTTGTGCACAGCTGTAATCTTAGCACTCAGATGGCTGAGGCAGAAGCTATTGCTGAAAGTTCTAGACCAGCCTGGGCTAGAGGTTCAGGCTGGCCCTAACTCTGACCCAAAATACAAAAAAGCAGAAACAAAAGATGGATACTTAATATTACAATACACAAAGTAGGTGGAAACAGGGCTGTTGGGGTTGAAGCTTGAAGAAAAACCCAAACAAGCATGTACTGAATGATAGGAGTGTGGGGTACCTTTTGCCTAATGGTTGGGATATATGATGCCTTGGGCGTTTTTAACAGGTTAACTCTGGCCTGAAGACAACATAGCCAGAGCCTTCTTACCTCCACCTTATCCTCCATCTTTGACTCCAGAGAGGTCTTTCTATGTCTACCATAGCTTCTAGCCTTGGCTTTAAATTCCACCCTAGAAGTACCACAGCTCTTATCCTATTTCAAGGTAGCAACTCTGAAGTCAGATCAAAAGTAGACCTGGGCCTCCAGCTCCCTGCTTATTATCTCGTCTCTTGGTGTAGGCTTAGCCTTGTAGTGAGGACACACTGTGGTTTATCAGTGATTGTCAGTATGGTAACATTAAACAAATCACTGGTGCTGACCTGTGGTCTGGGAAACACTTAGCATTCTCCAGCAAGGCCACTTGTCCATGTACTAAAAATGAGAGCAATCTCTCTCTCTCTCTCTCTCTCTCTCTCTCTCTCTCTCTCTCTCTCTCTCTCTCTCTCCACCCCTTTCGTTTGTTAAAAGAGCAAGGGAGGCCTGTTTCTGACCCTTCCTTGTGGGATCCTTTGAGACTCATGAGCCACTTTATGTAGCCTGACTCCCTGAGGTTCCT